ACTGCACACAGCTACACACGTTCGTATTCACTTCACCCGTACGCCGGATCGATATAGTTTCGGAGCGATTTAGACATGTTCGAATGCTCTCGTTGGAACTGTATAACGCGTTCAACACGAAAACCGCGCTTTCAGAGTGGCAAGGTAAGAACGGAGAGCACTGAGTATAGAGTATTGATTGCTATTGGTAGGAAAAAAGCGTCCCGATCACAACTGGAAAGTTAACGTGTTTTAAAGAGGCACGTAGACGATCAAGCTTCGTCGGTGACTGGCAACGCGATCCTACGTGCCGCGTCGCGTCGCGCCACTCATTGGCAAGTTCGTGGTGGCAGGGAAAACCGAATGCTCCCGAACAGCCGACCCGGTATGTAGCTAGCCGAAGAGAGGCGCTGCTGCCTCTCGCGACGTCCTCTCCATCGAAACGCCAGTGACGCTCAATTCGAATATGTGTTCCCTCCTTTATCCATCTTGCACGAATTCCACGTTCTCGCCACTTTAATCGCGATCGCGATGCGTTACCGTTACCACGAACGCGAACCACTTGGAAGAGAACAAACGGATGCTGTTGGATCGTCAATCGGACTATCATCCGGTTGGACATAGTCCAACGTTTCCTTTGCTCTGCCTACGCTCGCGCGATTCCGAGTCATGGTCCGCGCGCGTAATCGACTTGAAACGCGTCGCGATTTCAAGAGGACTGCTACTACTCCTCTTTTCCATACTTCTAATCGCGATATCGTTCTACTCGGCAGTCTCCTCTCGTCTGTGCCTCTCACCCTTCTTCTCTCCCTTCTCCAGGTGCACTTCGAGGACTCATACGTGACTCTAATTTTGATACGTCAACAAAAATTTACCCCGTGTTGTACCTTACTCCAGACTCCATACCGCAGCCAGCAGGGGTGCGCAACACGAGCAGGGGTTGTAACGAGTAAAAGTGAAAAGACAGCGGAGACGAATTCGAAAGGAACGCGCGTAAGAGGTAAGATACGCGTGGTGTAAGGTAGGGGAATATTGGATTAAAGATGGTTCCATGTTGCAGGTAGGAAGCAGACGAAGCGGAAGGACGGAGACGTGGAAAACAGTTTTACGCGGAAACGTAAAGAGAGAGAGAGAGAGAGGGAGAGAGAGAGTGAGGAGGAGGAGGAAGAGCGAGGGATGACGAGTGCAAGAAAACTCTCGAGTTACAATACAGCCACGTCACACCGTACTCGTAGACGTCGCTGCTCGTGCTTCCCCTTCATGGTTTCGCGACTCTTCAACCCCTTTGCGCAGCCTCTTGTTACACGGTTACCCTGCCCTTCCCTCTTTAAGGCTTCGTTTAGGATGGGGTTACCGGTCGTTACGGCTAGTTTCGAGGGTACTCTTTCCACGCGTACGACGCGAAACACGGGGACCCGTGTACGCTAAGTAGGCGCATCAAAAGAAGAAAAGCCTCTTTCGCTCGCTCTTCGCTTTCTAACTCGGTCTCTTTCTTTCGTTTCCGCTCCATTCCCTACCCTGGTTGCCCTCTCCATTGTCAAGATTCAAATTGTCGCTAATAAACTGGCTCGTCTCGGCTGGTTGTCTGGCCAGAATCGTTTCTGCACGCATGCAGATATCCGATCTTGCTTGCCAGACGTAAAACGCGTCAGAGGGACTCGTGGAAGCACGTTTTGTACCTTGGTAACCAGTTGAAGCGCACAAAGAGAATTTTTCGTTAAGGGAGAGACAAAGGAAGAAAGGACTGTACCTTGGTAACCAGTTGAAGCGCACAAAGAGAATTTTTCGTTAAGGGAGAGACAAAGGAAGGAAGGACGGAAGGAAGGAAGGAAGGAAGGAAGGAAGGAAGGAAGGAAAGCAAGGGAGGCGAACAGACGCGCCGACGTGGAGCGCAAATGGACGAACGCGATACGTGCTCTATCTGTGTATCCTCTGCGCTCCACTCGACGACCACCCTTTTCAATCTCTCTCTCTCTCTCTCTCTCGCGTTTTCCTTACGTAAGGCCAATACACGATCATTAGGAACACGTAACGAATTCCGATGAAATTCGAGGCTGACGGAAGAGTGTGAAACGCGACGGGGATAAATGTATAATTAACGATGTCTCGATGTTTGCGCTCTGTCATTATTTGACGGCCGTCTCGCGGCGCGAATGCATGCTGAATTGACCGACGCGACGCGGCGCATTGCGACAGTTTGTCGCGAACTAGCTGGCAGATGCATGCAAATTGTCCAGAAATAACTCTCTCTCTTTTTCTCTCGGACCATCTGGTTGCGAGGTTTCGATGGGTGATTCGAAATTCCATCGGTGGCGAAGATGGAAACGAGGGAAGAAAATGGGAAAAGTGCGTGGAGGGATATCAGAGAGGGTTATGGGTGCCGGTGGTGGAGGTATACGTATAACGTAGACGGGGAACGCGCGTCGGTGTACGGAAAAGGATCAATGAGCAGGTTCAATAACCTGAAATCCACTTGACTGACGTCCGACTAGCTATTGGTGTACGAGCGACTGCGTCGTTTCAACAACCAAAATAGATATTCATTTTCCAAGAGTGCTATTTTCCCAGCCAGACACAAATCCAATACCGGTGATTTAAGTGGTTTTCTCGCTCGGGTCAAAGACCCAGCATAGGCACATGCTCGAATTACTCGCGCGCTTTTGCCCGCTTTTGTTAAATCCCGGTTCGACGCTTCGCGCGACACTTCCCTCCGTCGTCAAACAGTCCGGCAACGTTTCTTCTCGCATCGCCGGCTTGCACGGGCCGAAGATTCAGAATCGATTGGTGAAATCGGATAAATGGAGAAAATCACGTTGCAAAGAGGCGGCGAAACGGAATCGATCGAGAGAACTCGCGACAAATTGGTGTCGCGCGGGGTTATGCTCTCGGAACCGGTCTAATCAGCTTTGCCTTACCTAAGGCTTCAAAGCTTCGCTTTCCGCTCTCGCGATGAAAAGACTAGACGACGGGAGAGACGACGATGAAACGGAATAGGAGATTGTCTCTACCTTGTCAAATATTTTTATTCGCGTTAAGAGAGATCGAAGATGATTTCCACTCGTCTCTTTGCTTGTTCATCAGCGATAATATTGTGTGTGTGTGTGTGTGTATAAATAATAGGGAAAAAAGAATCGACGAACGAATTAACCTCGACGTAATCGATGTACTGACAGTTGTTAAAAGAAAAAAAATGGGGGAGAATAAAGAGGAGGATGACGAGGGCATTATCACGTGTTGCCATCGAATGACTATATGTCCCCGTCTGTTGCGACAGATCCCCGTCACTCGGCCAATCTTTCGATCCATCGGTGAACGTTTCACCTGGTCCAAGTTATTCGAATCGGCGACTTACGCGTTGATCGCGTCGATGACCTGGGCAGTGTTGTACTTCTTACTAGGCGACACGATGTTACCTAAGAACGACGGATTCGGTTTATTCACCCTCGCGATATTTTCTTCCTGGCTCGGCTCCAGGCTCTCCTCCATCCCGTACTTGAACCTACCACCCGTGTTTGGGATGCTGATCGCTGGCTTGATTGTTCGAAATTCCGGACTGTACGACATTCACGAGGAACTCGGTCCATCAACCACTTCCAAGATACGAACGTTTTGCCTGACGTTCATCATTATACGCGCTGGCCTTCAGTTATCGACCACCACCTTGAAGGATCATCCGATCTTCCTCATGCTACTCTCCGTTGTTCCTTCCACCGTGGAAATGCTCGTCCTTGCCGTTTGCTGCAAGCTGATTCTGTCGTATCATTGGGACTGGGCGTTCATGGCCGGGTGAGTTTCATCACCATCCATCACACACCGCCGTTCTTTGTCTCTTACCGTTTCCTTACCCACGCTCCTTTTTCTACTTTGCTCGCTGGAAGAACGATGCTCGCCTGTATGTCGCCAGTGGTCACCGTCAACTGTATCCTAGCGTTGGTAGAACGAGGTTACGCCGAAGACAAGGGACTCGCGACGATCTTGTGCACAGCTACTTGCATCGACGATATACACATCGTTTCCCTGTTCGCCATCTGCTACTCGATCGTCTTCACTAACGGTGGGTGTATTGACGAGTCATGCTCTCGAGATTCGAGGAACTAAATTCATCATTCGGAATATTTCAGACAAGGGTAGAACGGATTGGTGGTGTTACGTACCCGTTGGTCTTCGCGACGCGATTTTGGGCGTCACGGTTGGAGTGTTGTTAGGAGTTTGCTTCGCCTTCTTGCCCCATCGTAGCCACGTAAGTATATCTCTTACCTTCTCCTCTTCTTCTATCTTCTCGATTAACCCTCCCACGATTTTACGACAGAAATACGCCAGCTGGTTCCGTATGATTTGCTTGGTGCTTGGCTCTCTGATGTGCACCACGGCCACGGCGAAACTCACTGTCTCAGGTGGAGGATACCTTGCCAGTTTAGTTCTGTCTTTCGTCGCTATGATCGGTTGGAAAATTTTGTCCCTCTCCTTCGACGTCAGTCTACACACGTTCTGTCACGTTGTACCGTTCACAGTGTACCTAATTATATTGTATTACGTTTCTTATTTAGACGACGCCTTTTAGAAGAGCAGCGTACGTTCTCTGGAAGTTTGTGCAACCGATTCTCGTAGGAATTATAGGCGCTGATATCGATCTGCGGGATTGGATTCCATCCAGATCTGGGCTTCATTTGGTGTGCGTTTTGATAGGCCTGGCGGTATGTTAGGTTCACGGTCAGATTTCCCTGATTTACCATTACGTAGAGCATGTACAGCACTGTTTTTCTATTCGCGTACGAACATAAACCCACCAGGCACGAAGCGTCGCCGTTTACCTGACGACTTTGAGAAGCTCGTTCACGTGGAGAGAACGGCTGTTCGTGGTGGTGTGTTGGATACCGAAAGGCACGCTACAGGTATGCGTGTTTTATCGATTTGGCTGCATACACCGTGTTATTACCACTTGCAAATCGAATCGTATTTGAAGGCAGCACTGGGACCAATGGCATACGAGCAAGTGCGGTATCAACGAGAGAATCGCGAGCAAGTCGAAATGGCTCTGGATATCTTAAGACTCTCGGTGATCACTATATTATTCTTAGCACCGATCGGAGCCAGTTTGATCACTATCGGTGGCCCGCTACTTCTCGAGCAGGTAACGGACGAGGAACGACGAAGAGATCGCGAGCTCAGTTACCTAAAACTCGTTTCCTTCTTACCTACGCCGCCCGACGATGTCAAAGTGAAACCATTACCGACGAATCCGTAGAGGTTGTTAATAACCGTGAAATCTGCTTTATCGCCTTGTTATTATATTTCTTCTCGAATCGCTGAATAACGCGTTGTTCTATCGTTAAAAACATCTCTTCTCTACGTACATATGTACGTACGCAATTGGCAACGAGCAGAAATACGTGGAATAAAGATCAAATAAACGAAATATGCTACGATAAGCAATTAATTATAAATAGTGCAAGGGATAAAAAAGCTGTACGATTAATAATTGGTTCGTTTATATACGGCTCTTCTGCACCTACATTTTTTCCCCCGTTTCGCAAATACGTGTCTCGTAAGATGAAAAAGGAAGGGAAAAGGTTGGGTAGAAAAGGGTAGAAGATGTAACGAAACACCTCTTACAGCCGTGAAATCACCTCTGGGAATATTCGGAGTAAGCGGGATAATAGAATGTGCATGAAGGTATTAGACAAAGCGGGGAGAATTTATTTTCGACCAGTTAAACAAGGATAGAGACTGTGAGTGGCGCCAGCGCTATTTCGTGTCAGCCGTGCGAACTACAGATTTTGTACTAAGAACAGAATGTACACGGTGGTATTAGAAGAGCGTGCGTTATTTTGCAACGAGGATACAGAGAAAATGTTTCCTATTGGCTCAGTCGCGACTGAGCTCCGCCCACCTGAAGGTGAGTATCGACTTGGGTTAGAAAAATGATTAATTACTCGTTATTTAAGAGGAACTTTTGCAATAGTTGGCACCTAATAATAAAGCACAGATATGAGGCTATTTTCATGTGTAAGTTTTCTTAACATTTCACTTCGAATTAATTAGTTATTAACGATATTAGAAACGACTCCAAAACGACCGACACGTATTGCGCGATACTACATGCATCTTTGGGAATTTTTGTTACTTATTCGTTTGCTATCTGTGAAATGTCCAGTTTTGTACTTTCACAACGATTAGACATTCCCTTTGGGATAATCGAACTAGATTATCAAATTTGGCAGTGTTCGTGGCAATCTGTGCATCGTCTAGTCACAGGCGAAGGAATATCGTTAAATTTTTCGTTTTCATCGTGTTGTAATTCATACATATTGATTTAAATTTGAATAGTTTGAATTTGATTGGCTAAATTCAAATAATTCAGTTTTTATTTGAAACACTTGGAATTTGCAAAGAAAGTAATTTAAAAAAATCATAATCTTTAATAATCCCACGTTTCAATGTTTATGGTTGATTACGAACTGTCGCAGGGGTAATCTGAACTTAACGCCACGAATTGGTCGCATATCGCAACTTTTATCATAGAAAAATAATAATATCCTGTTTTACCCTCTATACTTACATGTCTAAAGAGAAATGACATTCGGGATTCTGTCAAATTTGCCTACTCCGTGGTCAGAAGGTAGAACTACGCATTTAAGAAGCTCACGTCCAACGTGAACCTGCAGTCGGTAAAAAGTTCTCGAACCTAATCATTTATTTTATCAACTGCGGTACAGAGTAATTTTGTCCACCATACCATCCAAGTCTCGCATTCCTGTATACATTCTTCAAATAGTTTGATCGAAAAATAAAGGGACAATAAATATATAAATTGTTACTAAACTTGTAACACGTAGAAATTATCCGTAAAAAGATAATAATTTGCTGTTTCTTCTCGTTTGTGACCGGGCGAATCGTAAATATTGGCGACACGTAAATTTGCTACTGTATCTTTTTTATGTCAAGACAAATAATTCGAAGAATTTCACGAGAAAGTAATCGGAGGTTCATACCATTGGGCGAATGTACAACTGAACGTTTCACATAACATAAATTCCCAAAAATGAATCGCGCAGAAAGAGTCGTTCCTTACATCGTTAATAACTACATAATTAATTCGAACTGAAATGTTAACAAAACTTATACGTGAAAGTAGCTTGAAACCTGTATTTTATTAGTTGATGGAAATAATGTAGAAATTCCTTGTTAATAATGAGTAATTAATGAGTTTTTTTGATTAAGTCAAATTACCTTCAGGAAGACCGAACTTAGCCATGGCTAAGCCAATAGAAAACGTCATCTCTCTATCCTCCTCGCATAATAGCACGCTCTTTATCTAATATTTAGTCGCATGTCTATGTTCCCAGTACAAAGTCAGTATTTTGCGCGGTCAAGCACGAGATGGCGTTAGCGTCGCTCCACGACTTTTTATCATTATCTACTCCATGCTTTCCTTCTCTACCTAATAAACAAAATGAAGAAATGGCACTAATGGTATGCAAATCATTCGGTTTGATAGATCCTAACGATCAACCGTAAATACACTGTCTTCGTGTCTTAAACGTAATTGTAATTTGAAATCAGTATCTGTGATATTCGTAATTAGATCGTTATGTCGTATTTTAGGTGAACTTCTTCAGGAGTTTCACCGTTTCGATCGTTTGTAAGTATGAATAATATGATTTTATATAATTGTACTTTTCTTATTTATTTTTTGTTATTTCTAGAGATAATTCATAAGAAATTTGGTAATATAAAAGACATTTAGTGTGACAAAATTGCAAGCAATACTGGTGTTTGTCGACAGGTGAATGGGACCGACAAAAATGTACGGAAAGAATGGTAAGCTGCTGATGTTTGGATTGTTTTTGATATTTTGTTGTAAGGAAACATCTTCAAAATGTAAGCAATTAACGTCTTGCTCCTGCGTGTTCCCGAACGGATACGGATACAGTTTGTCGCCGCTGAATGACTCAACGTTGGTACACACTTCAAATTCTAACCTCTTTGCGTTCTACATGTTAATCTTCCACATAAATGTAACTTTTTTTTTTCTTTTCTTTTCCAGACCTATAGAGGCAGTCATAGTTGGTGATAACCGTGCCATCCTGTTTCATCCATGTACGAACGTGCAAATGGGAATTTCTGGCGAATGTAAAAAAGGGAAAGGTGCCTCTGTAAGGAATATTCATGTTGTTGTTATCCCTAACTAAACCATTTCCTCTTCTAAATCTGGTGAGTGGTACAATTTAACACATATTCCTTTTATTCCAGCTGTGCCTTCAACATGGAAACGATAGTTCAGTTTTGGGTACAGCAGAGGAGACACACCTAATGGTTGAGCCAGTGAATTCCACTGTTTTGTTTGTGGTTCATCACAACAATTATACAACAAAGATAGCTTTAGAGTGTTGTACTTCCACCCAATGCCCTACGCTATTGGTACCTCCTATTCTAGCAAATGACAGCAAGGAATATGTAAGTTTTATATTTTTTAAAGAGAAACAAGGCATGTTACTCTTTGTCATTTCATTTCAGGATTTAAAGCTGATTTCTCCCTATTCTTGCAAAAAGCTCCTTATGCATAAAGGCCTTTCAACTGGTACCATACTGCTCATCTGCTTTTTCTCCTTTAGCGCACTATATTTCATCGGCGGAGCGATAGCTTTAAAGTTACTGAGAGGGGCAACAGGTTGGGAGATGGTGCCAGATCATAAATTCTGGCTAGAGGAGCTACCTTCTTACGTTAAAGTGAGTTTTTTGGGGAATCAGCGTTTCAGATTGCCAGGAGGTCTCGTTACGTTATAATTTTATCGTTATAGGATGGAGTCGGTTTTACCTTCAACTGTTGTCACGCGGACAGCTACCAAAAGATATAAATCTACCTAAACTACGATTAGCAGTTACGCTTACTGTACGATGTATAAATTGGCTAGATCGATTAGCTAACAAAACACTCAAAGTTTTACACCGTGAAGCGCCAAACATATTTTTTAGGATGTACACACCTTTTTCGTACTTTGGAGATGTAACGTTTACGCGCTCGTGTTCGGGCGCATACCTATGTGTGATATACATGTATATGTTTTGTTAAGAATCTCGCGAGAAAATCTTGAATATTTATGTGGGTTTCGTATACGAAGTACCAACGATTTTCTGATTCAATGTTTTATTAACGAGAGTACTAGTAATACAAAAATATAAATACTTATACATATACATACATACATACATACATATATATATATATATTGTATATTTCATTTTTGTATTCTCTTATCGTTCGTTAAGTATACGCGCGCACGCGCACGTGTGTATGTGTGTGTGTGTGTACGTTTGTATGTAAAATTGATAAAGAAGACGTTCAATTACATTTGATCGTAGTACAACTGCTTTTACAATGGAAACACTGCTTTTTTCCTTCCGATTTGAATTTTTCAATTGAGCGCAATAAATAAACAGTATGTACGGGAATAGGACAGGATCATGTAACTTCGTAAAGATGAAATCGTCACGAATTTCGGAATACTGAATTTTCTTTCTACGTAGTAGGGCGAAGAAGGGAAAGCTTTTACAAAGCTATCTTAAAAAACTTCAATACCATCAATGCGTACATAAGCCTCCTTGTCGGTTTGTACAATCATCCAATTACCGTTGGCGTTCAAGTTACGAACGTTGATGCCTTTCGTAGAGAAGGCGTTCATGATTTGTGCCATATCTTGCACGTTGCTCGCTTGGTACAACGAGACGTAGTTGTCTAGAGTAACTCCATTGGAGAATGCGGTGTCGTCCAGCGAGAGCAAGAGTGGTTCATTGTTGCGAACGGTTCCTGCGAGATTGGAAAATGCAGAATGAGCGGAGACTAACGCATGCGATCGCGTACATTGGGCAGGAACGTCGAGTTTACTCGAAACACTCACCTTTGATACGGTGACCCTCCACCTGTACGACGATAGCTTCCTCATCGGCCGACACGTGGCTTCCTTTCACGTCGATGCCTGTCTCGCGTGCCAGCGTGGGTGCATTAATCAGATTCAAACCGTTCTTCGTTTGCCCCGACAAGATTCCAACGAGGACAGCAGTGTGGACGAACGTTTTCTCCTTCATGGATGCGTTACCAACGGTTTCACTCTGTATATTCACGTTTAGCTTTCCCTTCAAGAATCGAGCAGCCAGTTGGCCCAGTTTCTTCGCCAGTACTATCCACGGTGCGCTCTCGTCTGACATCGCGGCGCTTAACATCGGAGCATTCACTATTCCCGTGATCGCGTATTCGCTTGTTTTGCCCGCTAAAGCTAAGAATTGTTGGGCTATCTCGATAGCGACCCGCGTTTGTGCCTCAGCGGTACTCGCCCCTGTAACATGGCAACCACGTTAGCAGGTACGTAGTAGCAAGAGAAACGGCGCGTTTCGAAAAGAACCTACCGAGATGAGGAGTGGCGATGACTTTGGGGTGTGCGACCAACTTCAAAGTAACTGGATTTTTCGGTGGTTCCTCGATGAACACGTCCAAGGCTGCACCGGCACACTGGCCTGACGTGAGAGCATTCAACAGTGCTTCCTCGTCAACAATGCCACCTCGAGCCACGTTCACGATGCGTACTCCTGCCTTGCACTTCGCCAGCGTGGTCGAGTTAATCAGATCTATTTTTTTTCGATTTCTCAATTAATCCAGCAATTAATTTAATTAGAAGCAAAAACCAAGTATACCAAAGTAAAAAGAGCGTACTTTTCGTTTGAGGAATGAGCGGCGTGTGCACGGTGATGTAATCCGCAATAGGCCATATCTCGTCCAACGAGAGCTTCCGGACGTCGAGCTGACTGGCAAGTTCGTGGGTGAGCAATGGATCAAACGCGACAACGGTCATTCCAAATGCCTGCATCCTTCGAGCGACCTCGCGTCCAATCCGACCCATGCCGAGTACCGCGAGTGTTTTTCCAAACAGCTCGAATCCGGAGTATAATTTTCTGTCCCATCGTCCTTCTTTCAACGATTGAGCCGCTTGTACCACGTTCCGTGCCAGAGCAGAGATCAGCGCGCAAGTTAATTCGCAAGCGCTGATGCTGTTACCGCCTGGAGTGCTGTAAACGTTCGTTGATTAAGAAAAAGGAAAGGGGGGCTCTGGAGAAGGCGCGCGAGGAGAGAGATGATTACTTTAAAACGATCACTCCTTTCCGCGTGGCAGCCTCAAGATCGATGTTATCCACTCCAGTTCCAGCACGGCCGACCACACGAAGACTCGGGCACCGATCGAACACGTCGCTGGTTACCTTGGTCTCCGATCGAACGATCAGGGCATCGTGGTTCTGCAACGGAACCGAAAAAAACCAATGATCGCGCCGGTGCAGATGGATGGAAAGGAGGAACCGGCTGGTGAGATAAGTACAACGACCCCCGTTCAACTAACCGGTATTCGCTGTATTCGCCGACTAAACTGGATAGAGCCAGTTCCCTGCACGAATGCAATTAAGGCTCGCGAGCGCGAGCGAGAGTGATAGCGATAGTGAGAGTGAGAGTGGCCTTTCGTCGAAGCGAACAAAAAGGCGAAACGACGAGGTGGAATTAGAGGCAGGTAACGGAACCGAAAAGAAAAAAAGGAAACAATCACCGCCGATCGAATTCCTCCCGAAATAAAACGGGCGAAAAATCGGAACGATGGTAAGAGTGTCGTACGCGCGTGTCGAGCCAGTAGAATTTCTATTACCTGAAGTTCTTTAATCAATTCCTCCTTGGGAAGCTTGTACTTGGTGGTGACAGAGACGCCGTGAGAACGAAGCAGTTCTACGCATTTGTCGGCCACAGGATCGCTTATGAGGACGCTCCTGAACGTGGTCGACATGTTATCCTTGAACAAATCGGAAGACCTTGAACGTGTTTATGCCGAGTAGATCTCTGCTGTTAATAATATAGAAACCGGAGTTTCTTGATTGAATAAATTGTAGCAGTTACGTACGCCGCGTTAGAAGGACCGAGAACTCGTAAGGAGCGATTATAGTTATGTAAGGCAACGCATAGAAAGTACAGGTTGGGCAACCGTGGTGCACCGTACGTGGTCGGAGAGTAACGGCGGTAAATAGTTTATTAATCACACCCACCTTTTTCTTTTAAGAGCAGTCGACGATGTATGGCGAATTCGTTGGAACGAGACAAGTCGTAGAGACCTCTATGCCGCGCTCTTGATCGGTGATCCAACCGTAAACTGTCTGTTCGTTGGTGATTTATCTTCTTATAGCGGTATCCCCACTCGCCTCGATCTCGCCACTAAATCGAGTGAAACGAGCGGGCGGGCGAGAGCGCGCGCGCGCGCGCGCTCGCTCGCTCCGCGTTCCCGTCTACCGTTTCTCGATCGCTTGTTTACCGGATTATTGTGCCAAACGGGGAATTCGGGAAGAGGACACGACGTTCGTTAGGACCAACGTTCCTCGGTGCTAGTTAGATTTGTCAACGGCGAACTTCACGCCGCGGTCCGTAAACCGATTTCCTCGGCCCCGCCAACTCGATAAGACTTCGGGCATACTTTCTGACACGGTCGTCGCCGCGACGATTTATGGCTGCTTTACGCGGTGTTTGTCGATATTGTTGTCCCGTGTGAATTACGGCACGAAACGCGAAGAAACGGGTAAACGCTGCGAGAAGAAGTTGGAATTACACACGCGCGATACAAGAAGACGGTTGCGAATCGAAAAATATATTTTCCATGCCGGGGTCATCTAAAGTTACGTGATGCAACGTTCTGCTGGGGGTCCGATTTAGCAATAACAATAATTATTACGTCGTTATCGTTCCTACCGCTCTCCCTCTTCTTCCCCGTTCGTTTTGCCTCGTTCCAACCGATAAACCGAGCAACCTACGAATACACGCGGCGTCCTATTTACGTCGTCGAACTTTGAACATATTTTTTGCTGTCGTTTCCCTAGTCTCCTGTCGATCGCGTCAAACGGATGATTCATTCTCTATTCGGCTCCCTGTACTTCACCGAACCCCGTTCGCCTGCAAACGCGACGGAAAGCTGTCGCGATCCTCTTTCGACCTCGGTTTAAACGTGAACACGTCGACGCGTTGTACACTTGATCGTCGCAATTTTTATTAAATTCCGCCTAATTCAATTTCCAAGTAAACACACGGGAAATGTGATCGACGATCGACGGAGGGAAAGATGCATCGCGTCGAGAAAAAGACCGTTCAGAGTTTGATAAAACGAGGGGGGGTGGGGGCAATGCTGACCAGAGAGAAGTCGATGGACTGGAGTTAACCGGTTAGCTGGCTGTGAACTCAGGACCCCCCGTTCTGATAGCGTACGGAGGAGGAAAGACAAAAATTCAGATAACGCTCACATGATTCGGCAGCGAAAGGGACAGCGGAGAGAACGGAAGAACGATGATGATAAAACTTTTCTCTCTGCGTATGTACGTTGTATACGTCTGCGTATATCTGCCAGGGATAATCCTACTGGTCACGGATGTATCGGTACACGCGCACGTAAACACACGGGCTGTTTCAACCGTTCGAAGGAGGGTTTTGCAACAAAGGAGAGCTTTGTGCAAATGCGCCTTGGATGCTGGTGCATTATTTAGAGGAGTTGTTACTTTTCTCTCGTCCACTCTATCTGTCGTTGCAATCCTGCCAATTCTTTCTTTTTCTTTTTTTCCATTCATCGGGAAACATATCGTTGCCGTGAAAATTCATATTTCGCGACGAAAAATTGGGCATAGCTGGGGGGCGAAGTTGCAGCGCTGTTAGACGGGTTGCAGGTCGCCGGGCGACTTTTTCGAGATTATAGTCAACGATCGATTACCTTGTTTACAGTCGAACTAGAGTGAACTAACAAGTTTGCGAGTACGTAGGGCAGTAAAGCCGACTCTTGGCGAATAATACGTTGCAATAACTAGAATAAGAAGAAGATATTTGCTTTCTAGGTTTATCTTGAATAGTCAACGTCGAGGAGGGGTATTATGCGCCTGCACGCCTATTCACGTGTATGTTCTATGGTAATCCGGATTATTCGGAACCTATGTGTACACGTGTACCTACATTGAGCTTACTATCGAATGCCAAATACTATTGAAATAGTAACAAATAGGGGAGAGCGGGGTAATTATGGCTACACAAGGAGAAAAGCTGTAAAAGACCAAGTTACATATTAATCGACAGCTTGAAGTGTCTAGTTTGTATCAGTACGGCCGGGAAGGCGTAAATTTATGGCCGGCGATGATTTTTCTTTACAGAAACGGCAAGAAAACTGTTAAATTAATAAAAAGTTTTATTACTTTTTGTTTGAAAATTAAAGTAGTTATTAAAGGATTCTTCAGGTTTCTTCCAATTTTTGCTAGCAACGTTAGAACCTAGAAATATTTGAATTTGCAAAAGCGTAACTCCAAATAATGTAAATACGATGAAAATGATAACTACTGTAAATGTAATGTAAATATAAACTATCTTTTTTCATTCTTTCACCTCGTGGTCAGATATTTGAAGCAAGACACCGAATTGCATTTACATATTGCAAAAAACCAAATGTCAGTTTGAAAGTAGAAACATTTCTCTATTTAACGAGATTAATATTAACAATTTGTATCGATTCCAAGCACTAACGTATCTTGCTTAAAAATTCGCCGCTGTTATACAGGGTGTCCCAGGTTTTAACGGCCAAACATTTTCAGTATATTCTACGGGTCGAAATAAAAAAAAAATGTTATACAAACATACACTACCGGCCAAATGTTTGGAATCGCTATGCATTGCAAGTTGCACCAAAATTCTTCAAAAAAAAAAGTTAGCATTTGTAATAATTTTTTAACGAATTTGTTATCGTTCAAATCAATTGAAACGAGGTAAAGTGCTATTGATCTCCACAACGTCAATTTCAAATCAATAAAGAATTAGTAGCGGATTCAATATTAATGTAAATTGGCAGGTGATTCCAAATTTTTGGCCGGTAGTGTAGGTCTTTTAGAGCTTCGTTAGAAAGTTATGGCGGTAATAGGAAACGAAGGGAACAATAGCAGACTCGCGGTTACTGCGATGTAATACAGAAGTAGACAGACAGACAGACCCAATGCGGCCCTCTCTCTCTCTCCTTCACCCTCGCTCTGACTTTCACTCCCACATATACTGTCAACGTTTGGCCATTAACCCTTTCGCCTGGCTGGCGCCGGTTATATCCGGCACCCACTAAGCGCGTCGCATTGGCTCGCGCCTCAGCAACTCAAAGTGACGATTTATTTTAAAATACAGAACAAGGCCTCAACAACATTCCTTTTATCCAATACATCCTTAAATCCTTTAAGATTTTACACGGACACACTGGGAGCTCCAAAAGCGCGAGACACTCTTAATACATATGGTGTGCACTATGACCCGTTCGTTGTCGTTTCTGAAATGGTTGCCACGATCTGGCAAGAACTACCGAACCAATCGAACTCAAATTTTGCACATGTCTTCAGAACATGTGTGGCTGTGGTCGGTAGTGAAATTATGCCAAAATGTGTATTTTTCTGATTTTTAGAGCCTCTGAAAGACGGAAAAAAAGTGGAAAAAATCGATACTTCGTATTCAAAGTGCCGCCATTTTTTTAATTTTCAATATTTTTCTTTTATTCCACTACCGACCATAGCGACATGCATACTAAATAAGAATCAATTGGATTTTTTTATTTCTGATAAGCAGAACAGCTTGGCAGCCATGGACCTACTTTTTTTTTTCATGCTCCTGTTTGACGTGTTCCACAGCAGCCATATTTAATTATTTTTCAACAACAAAAATTTGTAATGATTCTTCAAGGATAAGTAAATGCACAGGAATAAAGCTCATGTTAATAACTGTTACCGTACTTCTGTAATAAATTAGCAAAGAAGGCCTAAAAAAACGGCCGTCACACTAGAAGACCCCAATATCTGCTCCTAGTTTCGAGGAATTGGGGCAAACCGGGAATCACAAAACGATGAATATTAACTAGTCGCGTCGTTAACAAGTGGCAGTACCATGCACAGTGAAATCGCGTGTTTTTATTTTAACAAAATTAAAGCAACCGGAATTACCCCGCTTTTCCCTGTACGTATGTTTCTTCGAAGAAAAACCGAAGTTCGAAGAGCTCGATTGCGACGATCAAGATGTAGGAAAATGTGAAAGGGAACGTGCGAGAAGAACAGAGGAGAAGATCGGAGAAGAGATTTCCATTTGTTCGAACGATCACCGAACGAATTTCCATAAAAGACATCGAATCTCTAATGTCTGCACAATATTATCGAATCTCTGGCGCACGCATAATAGAGACACGAAAATTCATTTTGACATCGACACAGGAAGCACGGATAAACGCGTATTTGTTGAGAAAATATTAGCAGATCGTTAATTATCCTTTATCTTTCCAGTTGGGTCAATCGAACTGCGCAAGTACAGCGACTCACGTTAATGTTCGGACACATTTTAGAACGGTATAATTTTTTAAAAATTCCACCTAACGACTTCAGTTTTTTTGAGAAGTTAGAAGGATTGTGTGGAGAGAAAGAGAGGGCCGCATTGGCTGCGTGTGTGATCCGCGAAGCTAGCGCGATGGTTTCATGGGCAACCGGCTGATACAGTAAATTCTCCACAAGTGTCAGTCCGCAAGGAAACTAAACCTGACACTTGTAGAGTCAGGGACTATGTTTTCAAGCCTCGCGCCCTCCTTTGTAGTTTGTCGAACGTAGACAAGGACAGTGGATAAAAGATAAGGATGAAACGTGAGTCGAGGCAACCAAGCGATTTAAATACCAACTTTTTTAATTTTACGTTTTTTTATCCCGAAATTTTTCTTAACATATTGATGAGATTTTTCTGATGAAAATGACATCAAACACGACATAATTTGAACAACATTTACTTATTAACACGTTCACTGTCACGCCGGATATTTCACTGTATTGAGATAAAACAGGCGCCCTGTATTACATTACATAGAGTCGGCCTACCGTTTGACTGCCAGTTGGAGAATTGGCCTGCCGTTTGACTGACACTTGTAGAAGCGGCCCTGCATTTGACTGACACTTGTAGAAGCGGCCACACATTTGACTGACACTTGTAGAATCGGCCCTACTTTTTTTTTTTTTATGTGGAGGTAGGCTGACATTAAATTAATTACTCAATAAGTATTAATAAGTAAATGTTGTTCAAATTATATCGTGTTTGATATCATTTTCATCAGAAAAATCTCAGCAACATGTTAAAAAAAATTTCAGATGAAAAAAAGTAAAATTAAAGGAATTATATTTTTATTAATCTCGTAAAAGAAACCGAGTGGCCCTCGAGGACAAAAGTATCGCCTTGGCAATGTAGGCCCGCGCCCCCACTTCCTGGGACTTTCCCAGGGCAAAAGGGGCTATTAAGGGAGCCCCGAAAAAGGCACGAGGCTTTTTGTCGTGGACATTCTTACCGCATGCATCGTGTCTTTACACACTTTAAAAATAGTTTAAGCGTTATCTGATTTAAATAAATATACTTTTGTTGAGCAACCTTAGTGCAATAATTATTTTTACACCACGTCACTTCCGAATTTTCATTTCAAGCTCGGATAAAAAAGTTGTTAAATGTGACCTTTACAATTATTGGAAATGGGTTATGAAAAGATATAGTCTTTTATCTTTGTGACTCTGAGGAAACGTCTTTACGCTATTGAATGTTCTAAAGGACTGTATCTGGGCACCCGAAAAGAAAGTTGGGGTCCCCTTATACCTAGGAACTGTTTACTTTATGGTATCGCATTGTGCAGGGCGTGACTCGAAGACGGACACCAGGCATAGGGTGTTGTCAGAAATAATCCAACAACAATTTTCTGCGCGTTTGCACAAATTGCAATTTTTTCAAAAAATTTTCTCTACGTCGCCTAGAAGATACACCAATTCTTCTAGCTTCTAAAAAAAACTCAAGTCGTTAGGCCCAATTTTAAAAAAGTTATACTGTTCCAAAAGTGTCCGAATATTAGTGGGAGTCACTGTACGTACTATCGTTGCGGTTTCCAATTTTCATCCAATATCTACTAACACGTAAAATGCTTTCCACCCGATGAAACCATTTGTGCCTGTGCCAAAACGCCTACGACAGGTCGGATTAATGCGAATATCCTGTAACTCCTTCCTGTCACTGACCATTTACCCATCGATCTCGCTGCTTCCTTCGTTCGGAAGCTCTTCGTTTTCACGTCTGGACGATCGAACTGACATGAAGACTGCGCGCGATTTACTTTTCCACGAGTACGTCTGATTTACAGACGCGCACATACGGTGTGAATGACGGTTTGACGTTTCGACGTGGTACGCTGGAAAGTGAAATAGAAAGCAGCGGAAGGGCAGAGTGATTTGACACGGAACGTTGCCGGATTAAATTAGTTGGAAACCGTGATTGTTGTTGGCCGCGAGCTCTTATTTCCCGGAACTGGACCGACCGAACGAATGAAATCGCAACACTTGACGAGACGTCGTGTCTTCTTTCGTGTATACCATCGCTAGAACGTTGCTACGTTGCCTTTGCTTTCCGCGGATCAAAAGTTCCCTCATTCCCCTTTGAAAGTTACGCGACAGAAAGGCGTAGAGCAGTGGGTTCAAGCAAGAGTTCAGGTACGAAATGAGAAAAGTCGACAGAGTTAGAAGAGTACTGAAGTTTGACGCGAGGTCGTAATTGTAGCCCCATATCCGCCAAGCGATCCTAGCTTGTTGAGGCAGGTTGCAAACGGCGAATATCGTCACCATGGCGATCAACATTCTGAAAAAGTTGCTCGTTTCGAACGGCACTGCCTCCTTGCCGCTTCTTACGTACAGTCAAAGACAGAAATATGTGTACACCAGAGGTGTGCGAGAACTCGAAAATGTCGGGAATCCGATGCTCGGGTCGGGTCGGGTCCTGAAAGTATCTTAGAATTCGAGAATTTCGGGATTTCGAAAATTTCAGGATTTCGAGAATTTCGGGATTCTCGAGAATTTCAGGATTTCGAAAATTTCGGGATTCTCAAGAATTTCGGGATTCTCAAGAATTTCGGGATTCTCGAGAATTTCGGGATTCTCGAGAATTTCGGGATTTCGAAAATTTCAGGATTTCGAGAATTTCGGGATTTCAAAAATTTCGGGATTCTCGAGAATTTCGGGATTCCCGAAAGTAGAACGAAACTATTATCGGAGAATGTTGAAAAACTAGCTTTTCTACGCGAAAATATGAAATAAATCATATCTATCGCATATTTGCTTACCATTTTCATTCTATGTTCTATTTCTTATATTTTCTACGAGATTTCTACTCCGTTTCTATGAGATCAGGAACATGTGATTTCCTCCGTGTTCAATACCACACCACAGTATTTTCGGGTTCTCGCACACCTCTGCTGGACACCCATCAAAGCAGAATAGCTTTTCTTTAAATTAGATCAAACAGCCTGAGCTTTTCGAATACGTTAGAAGGATTGAAGTAAAAAGAATTTGGAGAAAACTGCAATTAGTCGGAATTACGAAGAAAGTAGCGAATGCAATATTTACAACTTTTTTTATCCGAGCTCGTGATGAAAATTTAAAAAATACGTTTTGTAGATCTATGTCAATTATACAAAGATGTAAGAATCTTCAGATTTATTACAATTATAGGCCGAAATATAATAAATAAATCATAAATCTACAAAACGTATTTTGAAATTTTCATTATGGGCTCAGATAAGAAAATTGTTAACCTTCCGTCGGGCGCACTGGATCTTCGAGATCGGCCTTCAAGAGGTCTCTTACCAAGTGGAAACTAACTAACCATAGGAATAATAGAAGAACACGAGTGTAAACAAAAAAACATTAACATTTTCAGCACATTTGCACATTCATTGTGCAACGCATCGCATGGTTGTGCCTGAGAGATCAGGTGCGCCCGACGGAGGGTTAAATGTGACCTTTACAATTTTCTTCGCGATTCCCGCAAATTGCAATTTCTACCAAATTTTTCCTCATCTAGTAAACTAATCCTTCTAACCTCTCAAAAAAAAAACCCCAACTCGTGTGGCCCAATTTTAAAGAAGTTACTCCATTTTGAAGGACGTCCACATATTTCTGTCCTCGACTGTACTCCGCGTATTCGTCTAACCCTCGACAGTTTCGAATTAAGAGTGCGGTACCTTATCACGCCGCGTCTCGCACGGAGCACTCTCGTACCGTTTCTATTCCTCCCCGTTGGACCGTTTATCGTGGTACCGAGGGCAGCGCTGCTTTTCCACAAACCTACGCCGAGTTTCAAGTAGAGACAGCACATCAGGACGAGCGGGAATAGGTAGAGAAAGACGAGATTCACCGCGTCCACCAATTTTTTGTTATGTTTGTGCACGTTCCCGACGCAGATGATGTTCATGCCGCCGGTGTTCAAGAAATGCCGCAACGTCTCGACGTAGAAGAATCTCGGCGAGGCGTAAATCGCAGCCACTGTCCAGACAAGCCCGATCACCATCTGTAGCCGGCTTCTAGTCAGCACGGATCTGCATTTAATTGGATAAACGATGGCCAAGTATCGTTCGACGCACACCACCACGAGGATCAATACGCTGGCCGTGTAGGAGAACGCGTGCACGAACATGTAGAGCTTGCAGAGGAAATCGCCGAATAGCCAGCTGTTTATCAGGTAGTTAAACAGAGTTTGATAGATGCAGAAGATGCCGACGCAGAAATCGGCCAGCGCGAGGTTCGCTAGGAAGAAGTTAGTGTTGCTGCGTAGCCGTCGAGAGAACGTCACCACGAGGATCACCATCATGTTGCCTGGAAAAGCCAATCGAAGGAAAGCGGTCCTAAGCGAGTCCTTTAACGACGTTTGCCAATTACCGGTTGCCTGGATGTTCACGGTATTTCACGGGAAAGCGGTAAAGTAAGTGTTTTACGTTGGAAGAGTGATGTTCCGTTCCCGGGGGAATCTGTGTAGTTTTCGCGGGAAAGCTTGACGCGAATATTCGTCGAATAGAAGTTCAATCTGAAACCCTGTTTTCTGTCGTTCGTCGTGTATTCGCGCGCTACGTATTAAACGGTGCTAACGCACTACTGATTAAATTCTATTTCACATATCACTTTAAGCGCCGAACCCGCTTTAACACTAGGCCTACGGACATTTCTTGTGTACCTACCTCTACGGACACGCGTCAAATTGACTGAAACCGCATATTTTCTTTAAAAAGCAACTTATTTTATTTCAAAACAGCATATTGTACACTATTAACTCAGAAATGAATGATAATATGAACGATATATTTATATAATATTTATGTAAGAAATGCGAGATTCCGGCGGCGAAGTGGTGGCCTGGAATTTGTCACCCAGAAAGAGAAAGCGCGCGGGTACCTGAGGGTCCCATAAACTAAGCCCTTTCCCCGGAAAGTCGAACGAGGGGGCTCCAACGGTTTTTCGGAGCAACGTGGGATACGACGTGGAAAGGACACTCTGGAAATAGCCGTCGAGCGAGACGGACGCCGGAATCCTTAACAGTCGCTTAGGAATATAGAATAAATACTTTTTGGGATACCACGCTATCCTGAGTTAAATTCTTTTTTTCAAGCGGTGCTTACATTTATAATAAGCATAAACGGTTTCTGTAATTTTCCTAGCGAAATTCGAAATGCGTCAAAATGACGCGTCTCGTGTTAAGGCGTAATATGGGGACTAGCCGTTAAGCGTCGGACCCGCCTAAATGCGTTTTTAAATGTTTCTGCAGAAAGAAGTGATATCTCTTGAACAGCAAGTGGCTGAATATTTATATCGTTAAAAATCGTCGCTGTGCCTGTAATAAGCACTATGTAAAACTTTTCAGTAGAAATTTTGTTAGAGTTATTTTAATTTATTTTGTAAAAGTGCACGTTTCTACAAAACTCGTAATATTGCGGCGCTTTAAGTCAAGTTTCCAACAAAATGGCCGGCGCTTTGAGTGATATTTATCACACACACGTTTCGAAACGGTTGTACAAGAGGGTGTCTTTTCTCGTTGAAATGTCGTCGATATTTGGTTCAGCTTTAGGGAAAACCTGTACAAAACCGTGTGTCACACTTATTTCCGTAATTAATTGAAAAAATTCTAGGACCAATTTGCTATTATTTTCGGCGATATTGAAGTGTCGTTCAGCGGTGTTTTGTCTCAAACCAAGGAAATTCTGATGAATTGTCAAGTTTATTGTATGTTCAAGTGTTCTGATCTTATACTCAGCTGTTTTCGAAGCTATACTACAGTGTTTTGACAATCAGTAGGTAAGTTAGGTGACAATATTTATTACCAGCATCTATTGACGTGATATTTGAAAAATTGTTGCCGGTCCTTTTCGTCTTCGTATTTAGTCGTACTGTTAGGATAAACACGAATTTCCACCACCGCTTACACTATGGGTGGCCATCTTCACGCCGCGCGTCAGTTTTTCAAAAGTTGTTACTTCAGTTTATTGATTTTGGTTCAGAGTTGATTTTTGGAATAAAAGAGTTATTTTTGTGAACGGAATACTGAAATTTTTGAAGTACCTGTTAAGCTGCGGCATAACAGTACAATGGCCAGCAGACCTAATTAACGGTTAAGGAGGACTCGTCAAGGGACGAGTTCTCGTCGCGCTTTAAGAGGTGCTGAAAACAGTACCCAGGCCAGAAAATTAGCTCGTAGAAATTTATTCTGATCGCTACTAAAATAAAATTAAAAGAAAAAAATATTTTGTTATAAAGTAAGACTGGCATACGATTATATTCTAGACGTCTATTTAAGTTAGTTAAGTAGCTAGTATTTCAATTCTGTTTAAGGGTGCTCGCAATATTCCGCGTAATTATTAGCGAAAAACTAGAGTAGATGGTCTAAATACGGGCTAGTTGAAGTATTCAATCATGTTAGATGCTTCACTTTATTGAAAAGAGGACGAAACTACGATTTATAAACGAAATAAGTGTTGCGGAGGAGATAACGACTTGCATTTATTTTGTTCACGTGTTGTGTTGCAAAACGTGTCGTTTCTCTTATTCCGCTACTCCGAAAGATTTTTCAGGAAAGTTCGTTTATATTTTTTCAGCAATAATCTATTTAACTAAGAGTCGGGGAGAGACGTGCAGTACCGGCCAAAGCTAGATCTCGCTTATACCGTTAGTTGACTGCACTGTTGATGGAAAAACAAATGAATACTATTTATACGGCGACGTTCTTTTTTCTTCAGTATTACCAGAGTTCTAAGACGTTTAACGTTTACGCTGGTGTTCCGTACGACAAAAGTTATTTTTCATAGCTGCAATGGTTGGGCTCACGTGGAGTGTACGGATCAAGAAAATATCGATCACTTTACCTGTGATATTTGCAGACGTGCCTAAATAAAAGTTCTGTTCTATTTTTAAAGGATTTTTCCTAACATTATTTATTACTTAGACCTTCAAATCTACCAACTAAGTAGCTGGCCGGTACTGCACGACAATTTTTCGTTCGCTGCAAATTACAACCTTTTTATTTCTACGAATTATTTATCTTTACGAGAAAATTTAAGAAAAACCATTTGTCCCCTTTTATTAACACTTTACCGACCGGTAACGATTGAACATCCTACGCACTCCGACCGCTCACTCGGTCACAGATGCATCGCTGACACCGGCTCTGTTTAGACTAGGCTATCTAGGGAATATATGCGCTTTTTCTTATACCTATAGAAATGTTAAATGAAACTTTGACCGATTAATAGGCTACCGGTCGGTAAGCGTTCGTGGCAAAAAGGCGATTAATAAGCTACCGGTCGGTAAAGTGTTAAGCACCCTTTGTACTACCAATTACTTTTTCGAATTTCATTTTTACCAATATTAGCCCAAGTTATGGTACAAAAACTTAGAGTGGCCGGTACTGTACGACTCTTCCCTACTACATTGCCGACATTGTAAGCTTCTTTTTAGTATATGTACTTAAGTGCTCATGTTATGACAAATACACTTGAAATGGGTTAAAAATGAAGGTGGATAGTCCATTACTTATATACAATTCGTTCCTTCGAATTTGTACGATACTCGACTCGTGAACGAGACTGGTTTCAGCTCGAACTCAGTTAGTATCGTTGCGCACCCGATGTGTTAATCCCGAAAGGGCGAAATTCTAGTAGTTGGTGTGGTGATGGTGAATAATAGGTTCTCTCCGTCAGAATATTTTTGAACTCTCTTATTTGTGGTGGTGCGTGGGTATATATTAGGTCGGTGTATGTTCTGATTGGTTGGACGTTGAAGGTGGTGGAAAAGAAGGTGGAAAGGGATAGGAAACATGACCAGGGTGCGACTTGAACTATTTTATGATAGGGAAGAAATTTGTTAGGGGCTAGGAAGACGGCTGGAAAGGACTGTTTATTAATTTATGATATGTGACTGGCCGGTGGGCTGCGCGACCGGACAGAATTATTTTCTTAAAGTTCGAAAATGTTAGTCATGTATCTTAAAAATCATCCACAGGTTTGACAATAAATCCTGGAATAAAAGTGCTAGCCCATATTTAGATCCTCTCCTCTACTAGAAAAAAGAACAAAAAAAAAGAATTGGCGAAGAAAAGAATTAAATCAAATAAATCAGGAGTTGATGATATTTGACTATATTGTTAGAAAGAATATGGCACGAGTTGTTTCCAATAACAATGAGCATTGGCTGAGGACCAGAAGAATTTGATCATTTTCAACGTTATCATTATTAACTTAGATTAGGGACAATATCGTGTAGTGTATACGGTGTTACCCATCCCATGGGGCAAAATCGGATAAAGCAGAGGTTTCGTTTTATTGCTAATTTAAGTAGTAAGATAGAATTTTTAAATTTTATTTCTCTTATTTTTTGTTCATTATGAAAGCATTTGGTATAGTTTTGATTACACAACTTATTTTACAAATTACGAGGTTGTTGTAATTCAAACGTTTAAGGGAGAACCCTAATCGACGGAACGAAAATATCATTTTTTTGTCTTGCATAAATCGATAGTTTTGTATCTTGAGAATATGTTCCCAAAGTGGTAGATCGGAATTTGAAATATTAACCCTTTAACCTACAACAACGTGTCAGACTCGTGGTAGAGATTCTGGTGAAGATGTGGGACAAATAGTTATATTAGTAAGAAAAATTCATCGTAATCTTAGTTTTTGTTTGAATTCGTAAGACTGAGGATTCCTAAATGTAATTAATCTGTAACAGATTAGCTTTTGTCACCCGATACAGTACTGAAACAGTAAATGGCCGACGCTTAGATGCATAGTCAGAAAAGAAATCATAGGTTAAGGGGTTAACAGAGCTAAAACTCGTTGGAACATAGCGTGTCACACGTGCATGTATACCAGAAGAAAACTGTAAGGGGGTATTCTGGTTTTGAACTTTCAAAAAATTAATTTTTTTTTTTTGCATTTTCTTAAAGTATAAGTATTCTAGAACATGTGTGCAAAAGGATTTGTTTGAATTCGTAAAATTACCGTGACGAAATGGATAGATGAATCTTTAAACGCGTTTTTCTCGAAAGCTCATTTTTCGAAACGGTTTACGCGATATCTCGAGTGCTAGTTTATCAATTGACCCGAAATTTGTTGAGAACCTTCAGCACACATCCTGTTATCGCACGAACTAAAATTTTTAACAACCGTCGTTCTTTTCTTATTCCTTTAACACGGTAAAGACGGCAAAATATGAAAAAAGTCGATAGTCTAAATTCTAAATGCTGCCATTTTGTAAATAATCAATATTTTCATTTTATTTCGATTCAGACCATAGCCAGATTTATACCGATTAAGATATACCGATAGATCAGC